ACTCAGGTAAGCTGTGGCGTTTACACGATGCTCAATTGGTGTTACTGGACCTGAACTGTAGCAGATCATCTTGACCATGTCTACATGCCTAAATGCCTTGAGTTGCTGCTATGTGATTGGCTGATTAGACATTTGCATTAACGAGTAGCCAGTTAGAGTACCTAATAAAGGGGCTGGTGAGTGTATAATGCTACATTTTTTAATAAAATAAAATCATTTATTGTTAAATAAAATAAATAAATAAATATTCTATAATATAGCTACCAAAAAATACTACAATGATATAAATAATTAAATAAATAAATGCTAATTCTAAATTATAATTAAGTTTATTTACATTATTAAAGTTTATTGAAAATAATAAATTAGGTAAAAGAAAATAAAAAATTTCAATAAAATAAAAAGCTATACGGCAGCAATAAATAAAATGTCTCTTTTTGAAATAAAATAATAGTGCATAAATAATAAAACTGCATAAATATAACAAATATATTTGTATATTAACTACGAAAATGTATATATATATATATATATATATATATATATATATATATATATATATATATATATATATATATATATATATATATATATATATATATATATATATATATATATATATCCTATCTCCTCTTTACTCTCTGTGTATAACTCCGCCCACACACACTCACAAAAAAACAAACAATACATATCTATATGTTTAAATATGCGTGCGCGACTGTGTAACTGTCAGCTTATGATTTAAATCCGGAAGAAAGTATGTCCTCGTACATAAGTGTGTATGTATATGTACATATATACACACATATGCGTGCACACTGGTGTGTATACAGTTGTGTGCGCGCTCGTGCCAGCTCAAGCCACCCATATGTGTGTATATATAGCTATATCGCACAGATACATATGTATAAATATATATATATATATATATATATATATATATATATATATATATATATATATATATATATATATATATATATATATATATATGTATATATATGAGCAATATCACATGAGTAGCAGTGCGATATGGCTGTATATCAGCACTGGTGGGAGGCGTGAGTTGGCACGAGGCCGCACACAACAGTTTATACAACAGTTTGATGGCATAATTGTGTATATAAAAACAAAATCAAAAACACTTTTGTATGAGGAACTACTTTCTTCCGGATTTAAATCATAAGCTGACAGTTAAACAGTTGAGCATGCATCTTTTAAACTTTAGAGCTGTAGTGTCTGCTTTTTGCTGGCTGTATGTGGGCGGAGTAATACACAAAGAGTAAAGAGGCTGTAGGAGTTCTGATATTGCAGAATATCGCATGGCTATCAGCCAATCTGATTTGAGAACCAGACAGTATATATATATATATATATATATATATATATATATATATATATATATATATATATATATATATATATATATATTTGTTATATTTATGCAGTTTTATTATTTACGCACTATTATTTTATTTCAAAAAGAGACATTTTATTTATTGCTGCCGTATAGCTTTTTATTTTATTGAAATTTTTTATTTTCTTTTACCTAATTTATTATTTTCAATAAACTTTAATAATGTAAATAAACTTAATTATAATTTAGAATTAGCATTTATTTATTTAATTATTTATATCATTGTAGTATTTTTTGGTAGCTATATTATAGAATATTTATTTATTTATTTTATTTAACAATAAATGATTTTATTTTATTAAAAAATGTAGCATTATCCACTCACCGGCCACTTTATTAGGTACTCTAACTGGCTACTCGTTAATGCAAATGTCTAATCAGCCAATCACATAGCAGCAACTCAAGGCATTTAGGCATGTAGACATGGTCAAGATGATCTGCTACAGTTCAGGTCCAGTAACACCAATTGAGCATCGTGTAAACGCCACAGCTTACCTGAGTATTGTGGCTGACCATGTCCATCGCTTTATGACCACAGTGTACTCATCTTCTGATGGATACTTCCGGCAGGATAGCACGCCATGTCATAAAGCACAAATCATCTCAGACTTGTTTCTTGAACATGACAATGAGTTTACTGTAGTCAAATGGCCTCCACAGTCACCAGATCTCAATCCATTAGAGCACCTTTGGGATGTGGTGAAACGGGAGATTGGCATCATTGATGTGCAGCCGACAAAACTGCAGCAACTGCGTGATGCTATCATGTCAAATATGGACCAAAATCTCTGAGGAATATTTCCAGTACCTTGTTGAATCTATGCCAAGTGGGATTAAGGCAGATCTGAATGCCAAAGGGGGTCCAATCTGGTACTAGTAAGGTGTACCTAATAAAGTGGCCAGTGAGTGTATGCTATTGCCATATCAAAGCTTTGCAATTATACAATTTGTGAATTTTAATGAATATCTGTCTTCTTTATTTGCTTGAAATGTATAATTTATTGCTCCGTAACTAAAATGATGGTATTTATCTAATATAAATAATAATTACTATGTTATACAACATACATTTTAACATATACTGAACTGTATTGTCTTTTAGCAGTGCGCTTATGGCTTTTGGAAATTATGAATAATACAATTTGATAAAAAAAATAAATAAAATAACCACTAAGACCAGACCCATGATCTGGCACATCAGACACAAAGCACCTTTAGGAGTGTAGGAGGAGCATCTGCCAGTGTGTATGTATAGTCAGTGGGTATAAACCATTTACACACACACACACACACACAAAGTGTGTTTAATAAATGTTTATTTTGTCTGCTCCAGGGCTTTCATCATCACGGGCAGGGCACGCTGTGTTTGTACATGAGCATACGAGCGACTCTCAAATCATGGAAATCACAGAAGAGAATACAAGCAGGACACGGTATAATGAGGTAAATCACAATTTAAAGGGCCAGTTCACCCAAATAATGAAAACTTGCTGTTCATTGACTCACCCTACGACTGTCAGAGATGTGACCTTTTTTCTTGAGCAGAGATCTAAAGATTTTAATGTGGGTTTTTGTTCATTTATATAATGCAAGTCAATGGCTACTGGCATTCTGAAAGTCAAAAACACCCCAGAGCACTGCTTGATGTCAAACCAACATCTAATTGACATCACGCATGACATCATAAAACATGTAACGAAAAAATGCTAATCCATTTGATGTCAAAACCTACATTTGACATCCAGACATTCGTTTTTATCTGGTTCAGTCTCTTATTTATCAGGGGTCGCCACAGCGGAATGAACCACCAACTATTCCAGCAAATGTTTTATACAGTAGATGCCCTTCCAGCTGCAACCCAGTACTGGTTATCGTATGCCATGTGTCTTATCGTATGTCACGTCTCATCACATGTCTTATCATATGTCGTTTGTCACATGACTTATTGTATGTCATGTACGTCTTATGATATTTCATGTATGTCTCATGGCTTGTCATATGTCTAATCTCATGTCTTGTATGTTGTGTCTATCCTTATTATACATAATATGTCATGTCTCATCATATGTCTAATCCTATGTCTTATATGTTAAATGTCATGTCATATGTCATGCCATGTATGTCTTGAGTCATGTATGTCACGTCTTATCACATCTCATATGTCACCTGTCATAATGTGTCATGTCATATATATGGCATGTCATGTTATGCCATGAATGTCTTATGTCATGTATGTCACATCATGTCATGTATGTCACATGTCTTATCCCATGTCATGTCTTATGTCTAACTGTATGTCCTATCATATATCTAATCATATGTCATATGTCTAATGCTGTCTTATGTCATGTGTTTATTCGAAATTCATATCATATGTCAGGACTGATCATGTCTTATCATGTCATCTCTAATCTTATGTTATATCATGCCATGTCATATGCCATATCATAACATATGCCATGTCATGTATGTCACGTCTTATTATTTGTCATGTCTTATCATATGTCATTTATGTCACATGTATTATTGTTTGTCATGTATGTCACGTCTTATGTGTTATCGTATGTCATGTCACATGACTTATTGTGTCATGTATGTCACATCTTATCATGTCATGTGTCACATGACTTATTGTTTGTCATGTATGTCACATGGCTTATCATCATATTCCGTCATAATAATCATAATCTTATGTCATGTCTATTCATATTTTCAAATCATTTTTCATGTCTAATCATCTCATCATATGTCGTGTCATGTATTTATTGTGTTACATGTCTTATTGTTTGTCATATGTCTTATCGTATGTCATGCATGTCACATGACTTATTGTATGTCATGTATGTCACGTCCTAGGTATGTCATGTTTGTCACGTCTTATCGTATGTTATGTCATATGTCTTATCATATGTCTAATAGTGTGTCATATATGTCATATGTCTAATCGTATGTCATATATCTAATCGTATGTCATCATATGTCATGTCTTGTGTGTCTTATGTCATGTTACATGTCTTATTGTTTGTCACGTTTTATCGTATGTCATGTATGTCACGTCTTATGTCATGTGTGTCACATGACTTATCGCATGTCATGTATGTCAAATGTCTTATCGTATGTTATGTCATATGTCTAATATGTCTTATCATATGTCTAATAGTATGTCATATATGTCATATGTTTAATCGTATGTCATATGTCATCATATGTCATGTCTTGTTTGTCTTATGTCATGTTACATGTCTTATCGTTTGTCATATGTTTTATCGCATGTCATGTATGTCAAGTCTTATCGTATGTTATGTCATATGTCTAATATGTCTTATCATGTGTCTAATAGTATATCATATATGCCATACATCTAATCGAATGTCATATGTCTAATCAAATGTCATCATATGTCATGTCTTGTTTGTCT